ATTGTTTGCTTGTAACGTTAATATGTCAAGCCATTAGTCTGAAAATATTGAATGTTTGTACTTCAAATAACTTTCCAAGGTGAATTAGCCGAATTTTAAAACTAAGTTTGTTAATTTGTTTTTGTTATCAATAAGTATATATTTTTAAATTACTGCCAAACCAGAGTTACATCAGTAAGCATGGAGTTTTAGATTACTTCCAGGCTAGTGTTACATCAGTAAGTACATAGTTTTAAATTACTAGAAAGAGTTGCTAATAAGTGGTTAATATGTTATAAACTCGATTAGTATAAAAGCTCATCAAAAATGACGGGAACCATTGTTGAATGATGAGCGAAAATTATAGAATTTAACTAAAACGAATTTGTCTATACCTCCAAAATGTACCTACTCTTCACTTATTTCATAAGTCTCGAAGTAATTATTTAGTCACCACATTTTTAGTACAAAACTACGCAGAAAAATGAAATGCTATCGGGGACAAAAGTACACATGCACTATGAAAGAGACTTGAATAGCACTCTTGAGCTTTTTCACTGTATTCTAAGTCAGAAATTTTAAAACATATTGCGAACATTCCGACACAAAGTTTCAACTCTTTCGACTATACAAAGGATAAAAGATATTTGATAGTAATGAACGCTTATTTTTCTCTGTGTTTTAAGGCCAAGTAGGTAATATATGTGTTTAAACGCCAAAATAATATCTATTAATTAACACTTATTCACCACTTAAAACTTTTTCAACACTGACTCAATAACGTTAGCAATAGTAGGCCTATTTATAATCTAATTTAAGTATTAGGCCTAATACATAAATGTAACGTAAGGCTTAACTGAAACACTATTGGTAAGTTATAATTTGCTTTTGGCTACAACTCTAAACTTCTGAATTAAACTCTTTTGTTGTTATATTACCGAAGTTATAAAAATATATAAAGAATAAAAACAAACCTTTCTAACAAATCAATATGCATATTGAGCATTCACCATAAACACCATAGTTGGCCTAAGAACAATGAGATGATAGGTTTGTTGCTAAGCCCCGATGTATGTTGTTGAACATTACCAAAAAAGGAGCGTGAAAGCGTTCTCGATAGAGTGACAAAGATAAATAAGGCTTTTATAGTTAGTGATTAATAACATTAGGTAATGTAAACGTCATTGTAAGGCAGTCAACAATGCTGTGTAATGACTGGTTGTTTAGATAGAGTAAATAATATCGGTAGTTCTCATAACCATTCAATAATATACGCACGAAATCTCTGTAGTTTTGTAAGCCTTTATGCGTTAAGTTTACTGACATATGATTTCGTGTTGAAGTACTTATATTTCATCTAAAAAATACTTTCTAAGACCAATTTTAACCTTTTATTTAACAAACATTACAAACATTTTGCTTTGTTTATCTGTTCTTTGTATTAAATTCTAAACACATGATGATTTTGGTTCTTCGTGGGTTTCTACTTTACTTCGGGGAATGTGGTAGTATCCGTAACAAGGTTTTGTAATAAGAAAATATATTTTTATACGTTTTAGTGGTGTGTAGAATATGAAATTTTTTTCTTAATTTATGTGTGCTTAAATTGAGGTTTTGAAAGAGGTAGAATTCCCTTTTGTGATCCTCTTTGATATTACAATCAGAAGACCAGGAACGCTAATGGTTTGAATCCTCAAGAAGCGGAATTCCGTTCTGAATTGTTCAGCTCCGTTTTAACCCCTGTTAAAGAAACGCGTAGGCTTAGTAACTGACCAAAATAACTGGGCTTACCTAAGGAAGGCTGCTAAATTAAAAGGCACCACCTGGCCAGGATTTTGTAATAATATTTATCTACTACTCATGAATTAAATTAAGAGTTTTTAATCGAGAAATGTTAGTCCAGATTTGCGGAGAATCAAGGGACTAACATGATTAATTTCCACAATTATGAACTAATATACACTGTTTAAACCCGAAATAGCTGTGTATAACACAATATATTAATCGCTCATTGTTTTAAACTCATTCTGATGCCTAGGATTTTTTTTTCTTATCCTTTACAAACAAGACGATGAGAAGACTATAGTTTTTCGAAATTGTAATTACGTGTAGTACATTTTCCATCATCTCACCAAAAGATTGACTGGTTCACCATTTTAAGCACCTAAACTGCAAAGGTAATACAAAAGCTAAGACAAACTTGTAAAAATAAAAAAAAATTCACAGAATAAACTAAATGATAAATCTGTTGATTAAGAATGATTTTATAATGTCTTGGTTTTACCCCTGACTTACGTTAAACGAAACATCCCATCAAAACTGTACTTGTTTAGCACTGATGTTTTGTAACAAAGTATCTTTTACAGGGAACAATTCACTAATTAAAACGTAGGTTTTTCCCCGTTTGCATTTACTACGATAATAATAAT